CTTTTGTTTCCATTGCATATTAATGTAATCCACGGGTGAGGCCCAATAGAACGAAAAAGAAAAGATGTATTGGTGAAAGCACTAAGTATATTAAAAATTAACCTATGTGAAATAGACAGGAAAAATATTAATAGTAATCTTGTGATTAAATACATCATGTTGAACATCATATTGTTAAAACTTGATTTTTGTCTGTCATACCTGCTAAAGATTGTTCCATTTATTACCCAACATTTCCAGCTAGCTGACTTCAGCTCTTCCTAAGTCTACAGACACCCTAATTTTGAACCATTATATAATGAAAACATTGGGTATAATTTCCTTCGGTCTACAGTTCTTAGTTGCCCTTCTTACTGCAGATCTTTACACTGTAGCTCATGATTATAATTTGCATAAATGAAATTCATATTTATGAGTACAGATCTTGAAGCAACTGACAGGTGCAAGCTTGTCTACCATGCCAATTTATTGTTTGTTGTGTTATTTAAAAGAGAACTGCTCTCCATGTTTTAAAGAAGAATAAGTGCTGTGGTTGAATTAGAATAAAATTCTAAAAGTAGATAAAATCTTGTTTTATAGCTTTCCATTTTTATGCTTTTCTATATAATATGGTAATGTTCTGGGTGACTATACATTGAAGAAATGTCCAACTGTGCTTATCATATCCACTAATAGACTCTGAAAGCCCACCCTTCTCATTTCTCTCATCCGTGCTTTTCAGGGCATGCATGAGCTGTTAGCACCGATAGTCTTTATCCTTCACTGTGACCATCAAGCTTTCCTGCACGCTAGTGAATCAGCACAACCCAGGCAAGTTTCTGTACAAGCTCCCCCTGCTGGACTCCTTCTTTGACCTCAAGATCTTTTCAGTTGAAGTCCTTCTAACTTGGTGTAAATGTAAACAGGTGGTGGCTTATTTAGAAGGATGCAGTGGAACTTTTCCCTTAATAATTCTAATCCCAGTTCCACTATTGAACAAGCTTGGATCCTCATAATCCTAAGAATCTTTGATCTGTACTAGAAAACATGTAACTAATGACTCAAAGAAAGGACATTTTTATTGTCATGACAAAAGTGCTGATGACTGGTAATACTGCCCTTCGGTGGCTGATCTTGCTCTCTAAACTACATGAGAATCTTTTCTATGAGACACTTCTTGCCAGGCCTGTTTCCACTTAGTTCGTAATTAAGGGAACAGTGCCACAAAAACCCCGTTCTAAAAATACAGCACAAGTGGCTAATCAGGTTCTTGAGATGCACATTTTTAATTATTTTTTTTCAGATAAAGATAAATTTTAGTTATTACATTTTTCTTAGATTAAAAGAATTTTATCATTTAAAAGTGTATACGCATGTGTATGTATCTCACATGAAAATATAAATGACTGGAAATAGCTTTTAAATACGTTGGGCATACTTCTTCAGCTATTTTGACTTCTAGAAATGTGAAAGAAACTCAAATTTTAAAGCACTTCAACCACTAATTATAATTAAAATAGAGTAGAAGTAGAACTCATTAAAATATGTTAATATTTTGATATTTCATATGTGACCAGTAACTATCATTTTTTGGTATTTTTGTTTTAGAAAAGTGATAGGTTGCGAAGTAATCAATTTTTCTAGATCAAGCATATTCATGCAATATATTATAACATTATGTATTTGTTATTTGGAATAATTAGATAGCTGCTTCCTTGTGGAATTCACAAGACAGCTAAGTGGTTTTTGAATTTAATATAAAAAAGGATGTATTTGTTAATGAAGTTGCTCTTTTTATTTAAAAAAGCAATTTTTTTTACTTGCACATTTTAAGAAAGTTACCTTGTTGAGTGCATTTCTTCTGATTACAAAGTACACATTTTGATTGTTTTTATTGCTTTTTTTTTTAAGTGAGGAAATGAAAACTCTCTTAAACCCTGAGTATCTGGAACATGATGCCTAGTAAGTACAAAGAGCCCTTATTTTCTGTGTTTCGTTTTATACGACCCTCACATTAGTGACAGTTTCACATCACCATTGTATTGTTTTCCCAATTTTTTAGTGCAATGTTCTCACAACTTATGGAAACTGCTGAGCCTTGGTTTTCCACATTTGAGCATGATGGTCAAAAGGTAAGCCTTATTAGTGTTTATATTCTTCAAAAGATTTCAGTGATAGTAAATCATCAGTTAAAAAGCCATTATGATTGCTATAACAACAACCACAAGGGAAGGATTCTGATTGATTTTTGTATGTTGATTCTTGTACCCTGCCACTTCGCCTTTTAAAGACTCCTTTAAAAGCCAGTATTTTTTTCTTACTGAATTTTGGGGATTTTCTATGTATAAGATTATATCATTTATAAATAGAGAGGGTTACTTCTTTTATGATTGAATAGGAGGGATGACCAAGAGTTTTTGTTTGAGTATGTATTTTTAGCCTTGGTATATTCTGAAGGCATGGAATTGCTAAATTAACTGTACTCTTTAGTAAGCATCAATGCCAACTTAAGTGTCATTATTCTGTACATTGTTGTACAAATTTGAAAAATTGCAGACTCTTCTGGTAAGGATTATTATTAAAATATATTTGATTAATTATTTCTAGTGTGGTTAATTTTATCACTTCATCTTATCTCCAAAAAATGACCTAGGCAACTATTGGTATTCATACCTTTGATCTGCTCCAGGGGACCAGGGAGGGGGGGAGGGGGCTGGGAGATGGACGGACTGACAACTGACTTGCAGGTCACAATTTGGCCTCCTGTCTATTTTGGTACTGCTTGCATAATAGATTTTATATTTTTAAATAGCTGGAGGAAAACAAAAGAAGAAAAGTAATTTATGACCTGAAAGTTGTATTAAATTCCATTTTTGTATCCATAAATGAGGTTGTATTAGAACATAGCCATGCTTAAAATATTTACGATTTAGTTCTTTAGAGAAAATTTGCCAGGCCCTAGAGCCAGGGATAAAAGTCCTGTAGCACTTTAAGGGAGCTTCCAGAAGGAACACATAGAGGTAACATCTGAACCTTCCTGTTCATGTTTCATATATATCGATACAATATTTCTGTATAAGCATGTTTAGGGCCCTTTTTCATCCTCCCCTTTTCATTCTATGTCATAATTCTGTCACCTTTTTTTAAAAAGTTCTAGAAATGAATGTAAATCTTCTCATTAATTTCCTCTGGTTTTCTGTAAAGTCACTTACGTCACTATGTATGCTGCTTAGTTCAGCAGACACTCCTTTAATAATAAGACTTTCTTAGTGAAAGAAGCAGTGTGTTGGTTTAGAGCAGGGGTCCTCAGACTACGGCCCGCGGACCACATGCGGCCGGCCGAGGACATTTATCCGGCCTGCTGGGTGGTTTTGCCCTGTTTGTTTTATTACTTCAAAGTAAAATATGTGCAGTGTGCATAGGAATTTGTTCATAGTTTGTTTTTGTTTTTTAACTGTAGTCCAGCCCTCCAATTGGTCTGAGGGACAGTGAACGTGCCCCCTGTTTAAAAAGTTTGAGGACCCCTGGTTTAGAGTCTGCCACGAACTATTACAACCAACCTTGCTAAACTGGCACTGACCAGGAGAGCAAACTTGAATAGCACATGCAAGAAAGAGTTTAGAGACTTCTCTAATTTTACTGATAGTTGTAGATGTCCCATTTGATTGTATTTGATGAATGCAAATCATATTCTTACGATAAGAAATTCTGAAGATAAAGGACTATTTTTACATTAACTTTATCTTCTCGTGATTTTATTGTTAGATAAGCTAAGCTGTGTAAGTGCTTTTGAGCACAACCTTTGAGTTTCTTAGATTTAAGAGGTTTTATTAAAAGTACACTGAGCACAGGGGAAATCTGTGCATTAAAGACAGTGCAGTATACTAAACAGGCCTGTAAGTTTTAGTAGAGCATCTCGACTGTGAACAAAATGCACAAGCCGCCTGGCAGGACAAAGCTGTGATGTCCGCGTGCGTAATTGGTGAGGTTTTAGAAAGCCTATGGGCAAATGCTACTCTGTCCTACTGGGTGGCTTGGAGTCAGAATCAACAGCAATGGGTGTGCTTTTTGTTTGTTTCTCAGGGTTTTGTTTTTGTTTTTAGGGATGAATCCCTTTCAGGTATTTGAAAAATGGACTAAGTGTGCTGCTGATTTAATTACAACCTACGCTACTGAAATGAGAAATTGATCATATGATTTTATTCAATTAATTATTTTTAACAGTTTCTTTCAGAATCACTTATCTCCAAGCTTGCCATGATATTTGCATAGGTGTATGTTTCTACAAGCTGTGTACATAGCGCCAAGTTGTACTGAGATGTAGTGATGTGTGGTCCATGTGATTGATAGAAACATTACCAGAGAACGGCACCTCAACTGCAGGCAGACCATATGGCTAGAATTCACAAAGGGTTAAATTTGTTTTGCTATTTTTTACTAGAATCCAACATTAGTGTAAACACTGTCTATCAGTATGAATAATGCTTTACAATCAACCTGAACTTCCCAAAACATATACATTTCAAATCAATGGGGGGAAAAAATCTTAGTATTTTTAGAATAAAAAAGGTTATCTCTGATGCATTTTTATAGTGACTATAATATAGACTTCCTTTCTCGTGTGTACAATTTATCACAAAATAATGGAGCCCTAAAATTAGCATGGCCATACATGCTGAGGACTCCAGGGACACTAGGGCGCGACTTTCTGCACCTGCAAGAGGCTGTATTTCTTTATAAGACTTGGAATGGCCCTAGACATACAAGAACTTTTCCCCATACATGCTTCTGTGCCTTGTGCCACTCCGATCAGGTAAAGCTACTGTGTGGAATTCGAGATTTGTTTTCTGTGTAGTCTTCCCTTGTGGACTGAGAAAAGGACTTTTTCTTTATCTGTGTGTCCCAGAATCTGAAAAGAGGATGCTCGTTTTAGGTATCTTACAGTTTAGGTGGGAAGAGCAGTATCAAATTACACTTGGGGGCGGTCAGAGAAAAGAACCCAGTTGACATAAGCTACTAATTGCATTGTTGTTCGTTGGTTGAAGCCATTTGGTGAGAGAAAGATGAGACTGTCCAGAAAATATTCATAGCCTTGGAAACTCTGTGGAGCAGGTCTAGTCTGTCCTACAGGGCATAGTTGGTGGTTTGTGCTTAAACTTCCATTTATAGACGATTGAAATGGTGACATTCACTTTTTTATTTTTATTAACTTCATGCTGAAATAATATGTACTCTGTTTTTTCTATCTGTGTGCTTTTAGGGGAAAGAAGCACTGCTGACCCCCATCCCTTTTGCTAGGCCACAGGACTTAGGACCGACCATTGCCATTGTTACTAAAGTTAACCAGATCCAGGATCATCTACTGAAGAAGCATGATATTGAGCTTTATATGCACTTGAACAGACTAGAAATTGCACCACAGATATATGGCTTGTAAGTATTAAAGTTTAATTTTCTGCTACAACCGATCATGATTTATGGTGGTTTCTAAAGCTCAAGAGCAAGAACGATCCTAGCTCCATGTCATGCCACATCTCTTTTGTGCCCTGTGTTTTAGGCTCTATCCTTCTTATTTGCACATATGATGTCTCATCTAATACTCCCACCTGCCTCATTAACTTGGCATTATCCTTTAGGTACAAGTAAAAAATTCAGCCTTAGAATAAGTAGAAACTAAGACAGATTACGGTTACACATATTAAAATCTTAATTCAAACCTAAGCAGGATCAGCTACATAATTCCAGGAACTGATGCATATTAAATTTTTTAGAAATTAGTAAGAATGTCCAGATGACAACAGCAGATCATTAAACCAACCAAGCCTGGGGGCCCGGCCCTTCTACATGGTGAGATCTTTATACCTGCATAGATCTTACCTCCTTGAAGCCAACCTCAAGACCAGATAACCCAGGTTGCTTCTATTTAATAAAGGGGTCATTTTCTGCTCGGCCCCCAGAAGTGGATTTCTGTCAGTAAGATGCATCCCTAATGCAGGACATATTGTGTTCATCTTTCCAGCCACAACTTCTCCAATATACTCTAGCAGAAAAATAGGAAGCCAATTCTGTAGATACTCTAAGCTGGTGAACACAGAGATAGGGATGCTGGCCACATCAGCTCTTACAGTGCATGGTAGCAGGGGTGGAGGGGAGGGGAATTTATGTATTGCAGTGATTTACAAATGAAAAATTAGAAATATATTGGGTTGAGTAAGTTTCAGTTATCTGGACACTGCTATAGACAACAAAATTGTCCTGTCTATTGAAATGGTAGAACTTTGATATTTTGTGTTGGACAGTTCTTGGGTGGAAATTCTTCTGCAAATAAAGACTCCCAATTGGATAGTCTTTGGAGATTTGACAAGTTACTATGGTGATGCACATAGTAAATGGTCAAAAAATGTGGATTATTTGATTGGATGGTGAACTGTCTCCGCTCAGTCACAGTCTAGGACTGGAGCACAAGAAGAAGGATATCATAAGTGTTTTATGTTTCACACAGTCTCTTACTAATAATAATTCTCAGCTGTTTTTCTTCTCCTGAAGCACTGAACAGTGGCTGATAAAGGGTTTGCCAGTTCTAATTCTGACTGCCTTCATCTTGTGACTTAAAATTGACTTTATCACTGAAAGTGGCTCTTCCCTTCCTACAGGAGAATGTGTGTGGTGTGGGTACTAGAAAACAAGTATCACTACTGAGTATAAATAATACATTTGTGATTATAGGCATAATTTTAATAGCTAATGCAATGCCAAGAGTCAAATTCTGTATTTCTCTCTGCCATTCACTTGAATTGGTATATTTAAATACAAGGGTAAGTTAAAAATATTGCTACCACATCACAGAAACCTTTACTAAATAAAATTATCAAAATATGAAACTCTTATTTCTTGACATATCCTCCATCTATTTCGATACACTTCTGAAATGGGGTTTCTATCTTTCTAATCCTTCAAGAATTCCAAACTCTTCAAATTACGCCACATAAAAATAGTAGATTTGGCATCCTCAGGGATGCCAAAGGCAAACTAAGTCTAAAGAGGAAAGAAAAGGAATAAAGAGTGTGTGCCATAGGCTTCCCAAGAGCATTCTTGGAGGACAGCTCTGTGACCCTTGTGTAAGCAAGTACATTCTCAGATGGGAAGATCATCTCAGTGCAGCTTTAAGTTTTCTACAGTATCAGTTTAGATAAGCTCCCAGGATCCTCCCGTGTCCTTCAAGAAAATCTATTGGGACTATTCCCTTGGGATCCCTAAAATCACTCGTCATAACCCTCTGAGCTGACCGCACTCACTTGATGGAAACAACCTGGGCAATCTCAGAAACCATTGTTCTGATTGGAATGGTTTGTTTTTGAAGCACCGTGATGGGACTAGGACAGTTGTGTTCCTGGGAGAACCTGTCTGCAGCCACCCACTGATCACAGAGACACAGTTGTTGCAGTAAACCCAGGCCTGTATGAACTGTAAGCCTGATAGCACCATTGTTCACTCAGGTCGAAAAATTGTTTTAAACATTGAGAGAAATAACTTGATGCTTGATAAGTGTCATTTTTATGTGCTCCATAGTTTTCGCCTCTTTACCTGAGCTGGGGCTTGCATTACAATGGTGGCCACAGTGGCTTTAGTGCAGTAATATAAAGACAGTGTATTCTAATTTCCAGTTCTAACAGTAGTTTCCATCCACCTCCTCTTCATCCATAATAAGTCAGAAAGCTGTGCCTTCTCAAGAAAGTTCCATGAACCACCGCATAACTTCTCAGAGTTATTCCAATTGTATTTATTAGTAATAACCATCAATACCAGAGCTAGCTGTGGCTACAACTGCCTATTTGTCTCAATAGCTTTATAAATAATCTCATCATCTGCATTGCCTGGAAAATTTAATCTTTAAGATTGTCATTCATTTCAGTTTAGCTCTCATACTTAGTAGGGCAAGGGCTTTAGTTACCTGTTTAATTAATTTATTTGTATTATTATTATTTGTGGAGCACATGAAAGGCCAGTGTCCTTGGTTATTGCCATCTGTTTATTCCTTATTGATGACTGTTAACCTGTTGAACTGCTTTGAGTCTTAGTTTCTTCATCTGTGAAATTGGAATTAAAATCATTCTACCTACTTCATTAGGTACTTAGAGAAATTAAATCAAAATATACATGAAACATAATACTCAGTATGTAGTAAGAATTCAGTATATAGTTACCAGTGTTTTTATTATTATCGTCTGTCATGACAATGGCTTCATCGGGATGTTCCTGACGACTTGGATGTGATGTGCCATGAGAGTCCCTAGGCCTTCCAATTCTGGCTTTGGCTTTCTGTTTAGTGTCTCGTCACTCAAACTACGGGCTTCTGCTTAACTGGACACACATAATAACTAACCTTTAGACCAGTGTTTCTTCAGAGGTAGGAATATAATTTGAGAGTATAATTTTATAAATTTCATGGCAATTTGACAAAATAATTTTGTTGCCATGCCTAATAATTACTGTAGGTATATGGCTCATGGAAAGAGCCCTGGTATCACTGAGCCTTAAACTGCTAACCACAAGGTTAGACATTCAAATCCACTAGCAGATTTGTAGGACAAAGATGAAGCTTTCTGTTCCCAAAGATTGATAGCCTCAGGAACCCTCTAGAAAGTTAATATGCACAAGTTGGTATTGACTCAGTGGCAGTGGGTTTCGGATTTTGATAATATCTCATGGAAATTAATTAGAAATATTTTGTTTATATCTTCTACGTATTATGATTCCACATAATTATTGATGCTATCATCTAATCATGACTCCTTGGTGGGATAGTAGGGCAAGCATTGAACTGCTAGCCATGAGAGTCAGTAGTTCAAACTCACCAGCTAGCCCAAAGGAGATGGAGTAAGGCACACACACCTCTAAAGACTTACAGTGTCGGAACCCTGCGGAGCAGTTCTGCTCGGTCTAATTTAACTTTACAATAAAAAAAGGAGTAATGGAAAAAATTCAGTTTGTTGTTTGGGTCAATTTGTCATCAATAATCAATGTCAGTAGCTACTTTTCCTTAGGTCATAATCTATGGTTGTGTCATCTAATAGGTGCTGTTAGATGCCAACTCTTTTACAGAATTTTAACTTTCAGAACATTTTCTCTCCTACTAAAATTGAATTGGAAAAGCAACATGGCAAAATGTCAGTCATGAGTGAGCCAGTGACAAACTGCTATCAATGCTACCAATTGCTATAGAATGAGGATTAAATCATAAGAGTATGTTTACATGGGGGGGGGGGGCAAAGGGTAAGCAAGACTAAATTGTATACTACCTATTGGGTCCAAGTTTCTAATTTTAGTTTTTCTTCAGAAGTTGAGTGATACATTAAAAGTTATTTAAATTGCCACTTACTATGGGTGTGATCATTTAGAAAAATATTTAGCAGCTATTGATTCGAGTTTTAAAACGAAATTTTTGTTCAAATGTTTAAAAAGCTGTTTCTGAGGTGCAGAGAAGTCATTTATAGACATAGTTATTGTATTTTGCTATAAATTTACTTAAGACCACAGAAAGTGGTTGTTATTGTTAAGTGCCATCAAGTCAGCTTCAGCCCATTGTGACCCTGTGCACAACAGAAGGAAGTACTGCATGCAGGCCCTGCGTCGCCCTCACAACTGTTCCTAGGCCTGAACCCATTGAAACAGCCAGTGGGTCAGTCCTTCTTGTGGAGGCCCTTCCACTCTACCAAACATGAGGTCCTTCTCCAGGGACTGGTCTCTCCTAACCATATGCCCAAAGTATGCAAGACAAAGTCTTGCCATCCTTGCCTCTAAGGAGCACTCTAGCCTTACTTCTTCCAACATCAGTTTATCCTTTTAGCAGTCCATGGTACTTTCGATATTTCTTCTCCAGCACCACAATTCAAGTAAGTGCATATATTCTTCTATGATCTTCCTTATTTAAAGTCCACTTTTCACATGCAGTGAGGAATACCATGGCTTCGGTCAGGCGCCAAGTTACGTCCTTTTTCTTCAATAGTCAAAGGAGGTCTTGTGCAGCAGATTTACGTAATGCAGTGTGTCTTTTGATCTCTTGCCTGCTGCCTCCATGAGCATTGATTAGGGATCCAAGTAAGACAAACTCCTTGACAACTGCAACGTCTTCCCCATTTATCATGATGTTTTTACTTATTGGTCCAGTTGTGAGGGTCTTGATCTTCCTTATATTGAGTTGTAATCATCCTGAAGGCTACAGTCCTTGATCTTCATCAGCAAGTGTTTCGATTGCTCCTCACTTTCAGTAAGCAAGATTGTGTCACTGCATATCGCAGGTTGTTAATACGCCTTCCTCTGATCCTGATGCCGCACTCTTCTTCACATAATGTCTTCTTTGATGATTCCTCAGCACATAGATCGAGCAAGTTAGGGTGAGAGGATACAATCCTGATGCACACTGTTCCCTATTT